TGCCCACTTGCCTAGACCTACAGTGGGCTGACTTCCGAAAGGCCACTTCTAGAAACCTCTATCTGGCCTTTCGGTACTGTAGCAGCTACGACTCTGCCCTTTCAAGTGAGTAGCAGCTACGACTTTGACCCTTCAAACAGCCTACAGCTACGACCTTTGGACTGTCTAGACTCCTACCCGACAAGTCTACAGTTCGAATCCCTTATACCCTGTAACCTACGGGATCCTACCTACCACTGGCGGTCCTACAAGTCGCAGGTTCAAATCTACGGGGTTGACGCAGGTACTGTACACAGGTAAGGTGGGGAACTAGGGATCGAGCCCTGGGATCTGCATCAGCTACTGCGAACTGGTGAATACCGTTTCATTATAGTCCGTGGCAGCCGTCAAAGTCAAACCCCTTGATTTCTCTCCAGGCCCTCGATGATGGACCTTGCCTCCTAGGTTGCGAGAGTTGACTGCCACCACAGGTTTGAACCTGTGTACCACCCACTCTCTGCAGGGTGCAAATGAGGGTGTGGTGATCAACCGCCTTGGCGGTCTAGCGTCGAGAGATAACCTTTCTTGGCGCATGTCAGCTGACACTCGAGTGTCGAAGTGTGGAACCCGAAGTTATCGGGGGTCGCACGATTGTGGGTACCATATAGTACTCCATCGTTGCGACTGCTTGCGTACGCTTGCATCGCTGGTCAATATGAGAAAGGCCTAGCGCCCGCGCTGTTTTATGTTGAGTCTCACGCGTGACGCCTAACCGATTACCGTGTTAAAAGGTTATGGGTCGGACACTGAAGGGACTAGGAGTGTTGTTGTGTTGTTGTGTTGTTTGTTTTTTGTCCTTCCGTGTGTGTGAGTGTTGTGCTGTAACGCGTGGTGTGTGGATTGTGTCCTAGTCGACCGACGACGAGTCGTACCTGGGACCTCAGCCCCCCAATGCTTCGATTCGCGTACGGGTCCGATTGAGGGGCGTTTGACCGCGCGTACCCCCTATGCTACAGCGAACGAGAAACACCCTCGATCGGGCCACCTCTGCGATTGCATACGAAAAGCTTTCACACGTGGTTCGGTAGCTCGACGGGGATATGCCCACCCAAGGGATGGTGACAACTCCCACGGGTGGAGGTAAGCAGTGCCTCACGTGACCCTGTCCTGTCGTAGGGGCTCGCGAGAGGTACAGCTAGCGCACTCGGCCGGAGCGGCAAACCGCACTCCACGATGAAAGTCCTGCGAAATCCTGTGTGACGCAGCCGGGAGGGTCCCCGTGCGGGACCGATGCACTCGACACCAGGAAACACGTCGGGCCAGTAGGAATAGTAGTTGTTCCTGCTAGGGTCGAGGTGGTGGACACACCCTCACCATCTCGAAAGATGGCTCAAGCTACTGACTCCGTTGTCGTCCTGCAAACACATTCGGACCCATCGATCCTTTGTTCGATGAATGTGTTCGAGTCCTTAGAGGAGCTAGAGGAGTGGTCTAGATCAGACCCGCTAGCGTCTTGGACGGCCATGGCCAAAGCCCCTAAGGGTGAGTTGTTCGTTGGCGAGGTAGTCATCAGTGACCGCACGGCCGGGGCCTATTATGACACTTGCTCAATGCGAAACTTTATCAGTCGTGCGTGTGTTGAGAGGCTGCACTTACAGGGGCAAGTGCAGTGCCTGAGTCGACCTGTGGAGTCGACCTATGCCGACAAACAGTGCATGGTAGTCAACGATTACCTTAAAGACGTTAAGTGTTGTTTCCCGTTACGTGGGAGGGGAACTGAGACATCGCGTCTCGTTCCTAGTCAGCGATGAGCTCCCAATGGACATTTTGTTGGGTATGTACTATCTTTCGGTTGCACAGCCCCAGTTTGACAGGGACCAAAAAGTGGTCAAACACACTTTGCTCGGTGGGCGGACCGCCTGATTGCGTAAGTTTAAGGCTAGTAGTCTGATCGAGTCCTGCGGATGCATGTGTGCGGCCACATTCTACAATTATTATAAGCAAAATCTGGAGGAGGGTATGTACTTAGTTTATGTCTCTGCAACAGGCGAGCCGGTGAAAATGCCGTCGGAGATAGAGGGAGTAGTCGCTAAACACCCTGATCTATTCAAAGAGCCAAAAGGGGTTGTTGAGAGGGAGGTCGTCCATGCGATAGAGATTATCCCAGGGTCTAGCACTCTGAAGGGTAGGATCTATCGATGTCTCCAGGAGAGCTTGATGAGCTTCGCCGACAGGTGAAGGAACTCATAGAGAAGGGTTGGATCCGGCCTAGTGTCTCCCCTTACGGATCTCTAGTCCTATTTGTACCAAAGAAGGGGGGAACCCTAAGGATGTGCATTGACTACAGGGGCCTCAATGCCATCACTGTCAAGAACAAAGAACCCCTACCACGCATCGATGACTTGTTGGACCGAGTGCAAGGGTGTCGGTACTTCAGTAAGATAGATCTGAAGTCCGGGTACCATCAGATTGCAATACGTCTCGACGATCAACACAAAACCGCTTTTCAGACTAGGTACGGTCTATACGAGTTTGTGGTGATGCCTTTCGGCCTTTGCAATGCTCCTGGCACCTTTCAGCACGCCATGAATCGGATCTTACATGACTACTTGGATAAGTTTGTCATCGTGTACCTCGATGACGTACTCATCTTCAGTAGGACTGCCGAGGAACATGTTGGTCACTAGTCTCCATCGACAACAGCAGTTCAAGATCAACGGGGAGAAATGCGAGTTTGGCCGCACCCGGAACTTGTACTTGGGTCATGAGGTTTCCGCAGAGGGATTAAAGCCCGATGACGGGAAGGTGGCCAGCATTCATGACTGGCCGCGTCCTCAGTCTGTGCCTGAGATGAGGTCCTTCTTAGGGATGACCGACTACTACCGCAATTTTGTCAAGAACTATAGCATAGTGGCCACCCCTTCGACGAACCTGACTCGCCTTGACACCCCATGGGAGTGGACAGACAGGTGTGAGGCAGCCTTCAAACATATGAAGCATGCTTTGACACACCATGAGGTCTTGAAACTTCCTGATCCTGACAGGC